CAGCATTTTACACTTTGAAGGTGCAAAACTCATAAAAAAGATAGATACATTAGCACTCGAGCCATCCAGAAAAGCTTTCAACTTACCTCAATCTCCACCTCACAGAACAATGTCGTCCGCATACTCGACAGTAGACAGTCCACCGCGTAAGAGAAAATCGATGCCCTTATCCTAGCACGAGGATAGGGCTGTTTCAAGAACTAAATTTAAGACAAGGTTAAACAGAAACGAGAGAGCGGGTAACCCTGACGAACACCACTTTTTGTGGTGAACTCGGGCAAGAAAGTGCAGTCAGTTCGGACTCGGCTTCGGCTATCAATATAAAGGGGTTGTAAAATTGAAATAAACCTCTCAGGCACACTCTTCAGAGAGAGGCAGTGCCAGAGTTTAGAGCGGTCGAATGAGCCGAAAGCCCCTTTCAGTTCGAGGAAGACAGAGACAGTAGGTCTACGAAAAGAATGTCGGTGCTCCCGAGTTTGGCGAAAAGTGAACATGTGGTCGCTACAACCTCGACTAAGTCTAAAACCAGCTTGGTTCCCAAGTGTGCGCAGTTTATGTGCGGGAGACAATCGACGGAGTATGATAGCAGTGGGAAGTTTAGAGACGATGTTGATTAAAGTAACTCCTCTGTGGGTTTTTACAATAGGATTTGTCGCCATTTTTGTAACTTGGTATGATGAACGAGTCACACCATTCAGATTGAACTTTGACCTTCTCCCACAATGTAAACTCAGGAGTTTTGGCAACTCCAAATCCAAGGCTGAGCCTCTATTCTTAAAAACCGATGGGGACAGCCTTTCGGGGACGGAAGCCTTATACCTATTGAGATAATTTACTTCACGGGTAACTTCCATTTTAGATGGAGGACCGATGCCAATTGGCAGTATTTGCTCAGTTGAAGGAGGCATATGGAGGTCTTGTGTCGACAGGAGCCGGCTGAACTGTTCTTTGAAATGTATTGTCTTGTCTTGTTTGGCATTTGAATCGCTTCCTTGACTATTATCCAGTGATCACTAAGTCTTTCAGCTGAAAAGCGACCCGAATGTTCCGCTCCGGAGGTTCATTTGTACCCACTGCTGACATTGTATTGCAGGCATTCGTTTTCAATGGCTTTTCTGCGTTTGATTACCAGACGTAGGGAGAATCTGGCTCGTAACCGAGCATAGTCCGTGTCCCCGAATGTCGAACAGCAGGAGCGGCTGCCTTCAACGGATCCTCACCAGCGGTGGCTGGCGATGTGGCCGATTTGAGTTCAGCGCTGCGAAGAGGTTGACAGTTGCCATGTAAAGCGGTGTCTTTTCTTGTGCTAGAAGTTGGTGCTTGACAGAAACAGTTCGCGGTCAGCGCAAAGTTGAAGCAGGCGTTCTCCGTTGTCCGTACAGTGAATCGGGTTGGCATGTGAACCACCAATTAGCCTTTCTAATTCGTTCATGGGTCCCACTTGAGCATTGAAGTCTCCGGCTACTACCACGATGTCCGTTGACCAAGCACTTTGGAGCAGTTGAGAGAAGTCCTTGCAGAATTCATCTTTGATTTCGTGTGTACCGCCCTCAGTCGGTGCACATAAGAATACGACGAATAATCATCGACGCTTCGTTCTGTAGCTGTTGACCCGTACCGAACCATCCAGACGTCTAGCGCAAAGTCGGCTACTAACCAGGATCCAGTCGAAAAATGAACGCTCAGGCTTGACGCTTAGTGCCATCCCGACACCAGCAACACCGCGAGCTTCGGATGCTGATCGGCCTGACACACGGAGAATGAAGCGTAAGGATTAGGTTGAGACTAGGAACCGCAAGGTGATGATTAAAGAAGGGTCTTGTATGCGTGTTTCGGAGATACAGCATTCATATAGATTGAAAGTTTCAAAGGTTCTATCTAGAGCAGCTTGTTAACCAATCTGACAGCGTGTGCGGACATTAAAGGTGGAGCAAGTAGTCGACCCCCAAAGATTACGCTGGTTGGAACATGTGTTGCGCATGCCATCAAATGGGTTGCAACTGCGAGTGATTGCCGAGGTAGGTGGCGTTTGGAGAAAGATCAAGGGCGGTCAAACGAGGACCTGGCATGAGGACTAAAAACCCTAACCAGGACACTTAATTACTCTGGTCCCGTTATACTCCCTCTATGTGAACCCCGAAACCGGCGGTTAGAGACCGAGTGAAACGGCTGAGTGTCGCAAACAGTGGCGTTCATGCATCTACTCAGCATTCTTGCAACCCCAGTCTCTCTAAGTTCTCTATCTTCACTTTGACTCTGCTCTTTCATCTAAGTAGGCGGCCAAAGACAGCAACCAAAACCGGTTTATGAAATTGCATGATTAGTGGTTGTAAAAGCTGTGACTGATAAGCGTGAAATTCAGTCCTTTTGATTTTCAACTTGTTGATGTTTGTATAATTAGTGGGCACATTGGCGATTGTGCTCGATTCACAACATGTAAATGCATGGTTTTCACTTGTTAGTTTTCGTGGTGAAAAGTGAACGTGAAACAATATAAACGTATGAAATATGTATGCAAATCCTAAGACAAAATAATACCGGGGTACAACATTCAGTTTTCTCGGAAAATACGTTTTACCTGACTGCTTTACCCAACTCGACTGTACGTCTATTCTTTTATATTTTGCTTTCCAGAACATCAGATTATCTTTTATCCGTTTCAATGTTCCTTTTATTGAATTGACTAGTTTGAAGATCATCTTCTAATTCGTTTTTTGTATTGACCCAGTTAATTGGTCTTTGTTAGGATGTGAATTCCTAACCTGACACGATCCTGATTTTAGTATCGCACGCAATCCATCGCTGACACCACGAAACCACCCAGATAACCACGAATAAATTTATCTACCCTACTGCTTTACGAAGGCAAATTGAACCGATCAGCTGGCTTAAAAATTGGTTTTCCTTATCCGTAGCTTCCTTGATAACGAGTGGAATTAAAAAGCTGAAATCGATAACCCAGTTGGTGTTCAGTGTGTATTTTTTTTTACCATACTTGAATAGTCCACATTTCCCAAGGTGGAGTTACGTAGTTTTTCGTAGAATGCATCCTGCATTAAAATGTTATTTTTAATCTTATTATTCAAATGTTTTTGTCTAATTACCTAATGTAATCATCACGTATCTCAAAGGACTCTTAGCAACCCAATGTGGTTAAAACTACCCTCGTTCACAACTATTACCTGTCATGCGGCCGGTTTCTTCCTTACTTCAGAAAGCATTTATTCCAAAATAGTCTAGGATCAAGTTGTGTCAAACGTAGCATATGCCCTGTCGGAAAGGAATCAGTACACTTTTATTTTGTTTGAAATACGGATAGGTTGATGGAGCCTAATTGGGGCTTCAAAACCGAACCTTTCGGTAAGCCAAAGCGAGTTCCGTAGGATAGCGAAGTGCTATGTTCAGTGGGTTCCGACGTCCACTCAGTCAGATGATGATGATCCCCGAAACGCGGTTTCATCATCTAGAGTGCCAATAATTTTTTGCTCTAGCCCTGTTGATAATCTTAACGATCAAGGCTTCCTGGAACGCGTTCGTTTTCCAACTCTTCTCTAGGTGACAGAACAACACGAGTAGCGAGGAAGCTCGTTTTTGACAACTTCATCCTCTGGCTATTACAGTTATATACATTTAGTGAATAAATGTGCAACAAATGTCAAAAAGAATGTGTTGATTATACGGTATGGAAGTGATGAGGAGTGGTTGGAAAAGATGTGAGAACAAAAATTGTTGATCCTTGGTTTGGAATAGGGAATCCTGAAAACAGAAGGGAAAGGGGGGAACGGGGATGGAACAGGAAGGGCGAGGTCACACTCACTTGGGTCAAGGGGTCACGAGAAGGGTCATGGATGAATTAACGTTCAGTATCGGGTCTGGGCCTGGGTAGCTGCTGTAGGGCTTTAACAAATTGTTTTTTGTGAGCATAAAGTTGGTCTCAATAACATTATTGCTACCGCCTTTGCTATCGCAAGATGGCGCTGTCGGAGGGGTTTGGAGGGGTTTAGGGTACCTTGTTGATAATTCTGAACTCATCTTCACGATCCCCTATTCCAAGGCACTATCAACAATTTTTGTTCTCACATCTTTCCCAACCACTCCTCACCACTTCCATACCGTCTAATCAACACATTCTTTCTGACACTATTTGTTGCACGTTTATTCACTAAATGTATATAACTGCATTAACCAGAGGATGAAGTTATCGAAAACCATCTTGTTCGCAACTCGTGTTATTCTCCTAGATGAGCTGGCAGAGCAGTCTGAATAAAGCTCTGATGATGGTTTTATTGCCCTGTCAATCTGATTCACCCACCTGCGTGAGTAGAACTATTCAGTAAGCTATACGTAAGAAAGTTTTTGGGCTGGTTCACCCTTGAAAGGTCAGAGACTTTTTGATCTAGAGTTTTCCGTATCTAGTCCCATTGCTTTCACGGAAACTTGTGTTTATCACACTGGCTTCAATTTTCTCTTATTTCGAATGATCTTAACATTACATTTATCTCACGGTCATTTTGCGTAGGAGCCCAAGCGGAGCAAATTGTCAGATGCCACAAAAGACGTTTCTGCAACAGATGGCTCAGCAGCAGCACCAACAACAAAACCCACTAGAGAAAAACCTACAGCCTCCCGAGCGGCAGCAACCGACCCATCAGTGACATTTGGTAAGCTGCGCCTTGGTTTTTGATTCGGTTTTTCGCAATCCACACATTCTTTCGGCAAGCGGAATCCCTCGACCCGCCAGGAGGCAGTCCAGTATTTAAATAGCGAGTAAAATGTCATGATTTAGATCAGTTGTATCGCTTTCTTAATTACTCTAACGTTTGGCTCAACATTTTCGAGGGCATCATTAGCGTAAAATCTTGTCTCACACTTTACTCCTTATAGCTGAGTTGTTGACGGTTACAGAACTACACATTCGCTGCCGTTCGGCTAAATCAAAAAAGCCGATTTCTGTAAACTGAATTTTTGTTCCTTTTTCGACCAGGAGATTTGTTCCAACACAAGTTGAATTTTTACATTTCAGTATTAGTCAATCCGCTTTTCTTTTCATATGAACTCAAATACTAATATTTGTACTACTGCAGTATTTGTACATATCATCTAGTTTTATCAGGATATGGTGATACGATCGTATCCGCGTATGCACCGACAGATTGCAGTTCGCCAGAAGTGAAGGATGAATTCCACAAGGACCTGTCTCTCAACTGCTCCGAAAGGCTCGATTAACGTACATTGTGGTGGTCGCTGGAGACTTCGATGCCCAAGTGGGATGCGTGGACGAATCAGAAAGGCTACTTGGTGGTTCACATGCAATCCTGTACGGACAACGGAGAACGCCTGCTTCAACTTTGCTGACCACGGACTGTTTCTGTCAAGCTCGAACTTCTCGAACAAAAAACGCCACCGCATTACATGGAGACCGCCAACTGCTTCACAGTACTGAACTCAAATCGACCACATTGCCATCAGCCACCGCTGGTGAGGATCCATTGAAGACTGCCACTCCTACTGGTCAATAACCGTCGACACGGACCATGCTCTGCTACGAGCGAGATTCTCTCTACGCCTAGTAAACAAACGCAGAAAAGCCACCGAAAACAGATGCCCAAGATACAGTGTCAACAATGGTTGCAAATCGGCCTTCGAATCGGAACTATCAGATCGTCTCTTAGCACAACCATCAGCCGGAGGACTCCGTGAGGACTGGACGGCAATCAAGAAAGCGAGCAAAATGTCAATCGAAACCACAGCAAATTCTGACTCACGATCGAATAAAAAACGATGGATCTCCTCGTCTTCGGTTGCGCTGCTGGACGCTCGCAAAGCCATTCCTTCGGATTCAAACTACGACAAAGCGCGCAAATCCTTTAAGCGCCAGCTCATCAAGAGTCTGAGGAATGACCGCGAGAAGTGGTGGTTAGGAAAGTGTAGAGAAATGGAGAAGGCTGCGGCTGTCGGTAATACTCGCACTCTTTTCCGATTAATTAGGAGTCCAGGACCAAGGAAAGCAGGCGTAAGTGAGGTAATTAAGGAGTCCGGCGGCACACTGATCCATATTCAGCAACACCGTCTAGATAGATGGGCAGAACATCTAAAGGCTTAGTTCAGCTGGCTGTCGTCAGCACAAAACCTCCGTACACCCGATTCAACTGTGCAAATACTCAGCTGATATCAGTCCTCCATTTGAAGTAGAGGTTACCCGAGAACTAAATCATCTCAAAAGGTATAAGGCTTCCGTCCCCGAAAGGCTGTCCCCATCGGTTTTTAAGAATAGAGGCTCATCCTTGGATTTGGAGTTACCAAAACTCCTGGGTTCAGTGTGGGAAAAGGAACGGGTTCCAACTGAATGGTGTGAATCGGTGATCATATCGATTTACAAGAAGGGAGACAGGACTTTTTATGGAAACTAGAGGAATTAGTTTAATAAACATTGTCTCTAAACCTCTGGCCGAAATCATGCTCCGTCGATTGTCTGCCGCTCGTGAAGGGTGCACACGTGAGAACCAGGCTGGTTCTAGACCTGGTCGAGGTTGTATCGACCACCTCTTTACTCTTCGTCAAATCCTAGGACACAGACACTCTTTTCGTAGACTCAGCTTTCCATCTTCCTCGACCTGAAAGCGGATTTCGACAGAGTCGACCGCTCTAAACTCTTGCGCTGCCTTTCCCTGAAGGGCTTGCCCGAGAAGTTTATTTCAATATTACAATCTATAATAATAGCCGAAGCCGAGTTCGAGCTTACGGCACTTTCTCGCCTGAGTTCACCACAAAAAGTGGTGTTCGACAGGGTTGCCCTCTCTCTCCTTTTCGATTTCACTTTTTTAGAGATTTAATTCTTGAAACAGCCCTATCCTCGTGCAAGGATAGCGGTATCGACTTACTTCTGGGTGGCAGACTGTTTGATCTAGAGTATGCAGACGACATTGTGCTACTAAGTGAAGATCCAGGTGAGTTGCAAGCTTTCTGGATAGTTTGAATGTTAGTGTAGCTATGTTCGGTAT